CTTCAAGTTTATTCCTAGATATTTTATATTTTTTATTACAATTGTAAATGGTATTTTAAAAGTGTACTTTCTGACTATTAGAGTCTGTAGGAAAGTAGTGATTTTGTGTGCGTTTTCACTTTACGGAACATTAGTCTAGTTTCCAGGTGATTCTTTTGAATTTCTTATGGAAGCAATCGTGTCATTTGCAAAAAAACTAATGAAAAGACAGAAAGAGGATAGATGGTTTTATTTCTTCTTTTACAGTATTTATACTTTGTTTCTTTTTGTTTTCGCATTGCTTTGGCTAGGACCAATTCTTGGATGCATCAATTAGACAATTTTTCTCTCCGGGATTCCATTGAGATCACACACACACACACACACACACACACACACACACACGCTCTTTAGGACATAATCCTACTTTCCCCCTAATATTTTCATCTGTTTATCCTTTTCTTCTGAGTTCTTAGAGATATCCTTGGGCTTTACCTTCAAATTCTCTAATTTAATTTCTTATAGCATCTAATAAGTGGTTTACTGCTTCTTTTGGATTTTAACATTCAACAAACAGTATTTTTATCTCTAACCACTCGTCTTTGAAAGGTTGCCAGTGATCCCCCAGTTGTCTTGGTGAACGCTGCTTTGTGATCCTCTCCCTTGAGGGCTCTGTTGTACTGACCCTATCCCCACTTTCCTTGAACCCTTTTTTCTCTTGGCGTCCAATGACACTATGCTCCCTGATTATCCTCCTAACCCCCTTCTCCTCAGTCTCTCCTCTCCCCACCCCTCTGAGTTCCCGGCGTTCTTCTATTCTCATTCTAAAATTCTCCCCAGCAATCTCATCCATCCTCATGTCCACTACACACATGTCAAGTCTTTTTTTTTTTTTAATTGTGGTAACATTGGTTTATAACATTATTTAAATTTCAGGTGTACATCGTTATACTTCTATTTCTGCATAGATTACACCATGTTCACCACCCAAATACTAATTACAATCCATCACCACACACATGTGCCTAATCACCCCTTTCACCCTCCTCCCTCCCCACTTCCCCTCTGGTAACCACCAATCCAATCTCTGTCTCTATGTGTTTGTTGTTGTTTTTATCTTCTACTTATGAGAGAGATCATACGGTATTTGACCTTCTCCTTCTGACTTATTTCGCTTAGCATAATACCCTCAATGTCCATCCATGTTGTCACAAATGGCTGGATCTCATCATTTCTTATGCCACATGCCAAGTCTTGAGAGTGCTCCAGCCTCATAGTTCTATTCCAAGGACGTCTCTTCTGGCATGTTTCAACACCAAACTCGCTGTCTCCCAAATTTGTTACTCCTGGTATTTATGCTACCATAGTCCACCTAGTTGCCCAAGATAGAATCTCATAGTCATCCTGGACATCTCCCTCTCCCGCATCTTCCCTGTCCCATTACCTCATGATGGTGATTCTAGGTATGAATGCCTCTCCTTTCTTTCTATCTCTATTACTCCTACTTGAATTTTCAAGCCCTCGTGATCCCTCTTCACAGTACCCCAGTTGTCTTTTTTTCTCCTCTGCCTTTAGTCTTTTACTCTTCCTCATCTTGCGTCTTCCCAAAGCCACATTTTTTTTTAGTGGGCATTCACACTAGTTTTGTTTTTTGGTTTTTTTTGAGGAAGATTGGCCCTGTGCTGACATCTGTTGCCAATCTTCCTCTTTCTGTTTTTTCTCCCAAAGCCCCAGTACATAGCCGTGCATCATAGTTGTAGAGTTGTATCTCTTTGACATGGGACCCCACCTCAGCATGGCTCAATGAGTGGTGAGTAGGTCTGCTCCAGGATCCGAACCGGCGAACCCCCGGGCTGCCAAAGCGGAATGTGCGAACTTAACTGCTACGCCGCCAGGCCAGCCCTCCAAAGCCACATTTAATCGTGCCAGTTGTCTATTCAAACAATTTCCACGGGTCCTGTTGCAAAACAAATTATAAATGACTTAGGACATGTAAGGCTTTCTATTATCAGGACTCAGTAACCTTTCAGCTTTGTCACCCAACATTCCTTTCTAGATGCCCTATCTCCCAGTACACCAAGATTCTCGCCATTCCCCAGACACCTCATACCTTTGCACACACCCTTCCCTTTGCCTCTAGAGTCCTTTACCTGACCCTTTGCCTGCTCATCCTTCAAAATCAAGCTGGAAAGACAACTCTATGAAGCCTTTCTAGGCTCCCTCCTCTGTCCTCCTTTAGTGCGTGACAAATGCTCCTCTGCTCAGGCACTTCACGTGTTGTGCTACAGTTATGTCTGTCTGTCTCTTCCTCCAGATCCAGAGAAGGCCCAGGACTCTTCTGCATTTATCTTACTTCTTATCCTCTCACTCCCTTCTCTTCCATCATACTCACCAGTCTAAGTCCCTACCCAAGGTAAACTCAACAGCCACTTCTTCCACATCTGCACTTGAACAGTTAAAATGCACACAACTGTAGAATGCAATATTACCTAGTAACCTTACTACATACCTATGATATATGCAGTTTCTCACTTTCCAAAATGACGGTTTCACACCTTCTTCTCTGTCCCCAGACTTCCCATATAATCCCTCTTCCCCTGATGACCTTGCTTCTAATTCGTTGAGAAAAATAGAAGGAATCAGAAGACAATGTTGTCATTCCTCACCCCCACATCTTCCAATTCCCTTGCATCTGAACCTGTGTCCTCTGCACCTACCAAAGCCTGGGCCCCCCACTTTTGATCTGGATCCTGTCCCCTCCCATCTCCCCAGAATCATTCCTCTTGCAATGATCCCCTTGTTCCTCTCTGCCTTCTATACCTCCCTTTCCACTGGATTATTTCCATTCACTGCAAACGTGCCTGACTGTCATCCATCTCTTAAAAAATCATAATAAAAAAAGATCTTGGGGCCAGCCCAGTGGCGCAAGTGGTTAAGTGCGCACGCTCTGCTGCAGTGGCCCGGGTTTCGCAGGTTCAGATCCCGGGCGCGCACTGACGCACCTCTTGTTAAGCCATGCTGTGGCAGCGTCCCACATAAAGTAGCAGAAGATGGCCACGGATGTTAGCTCAGGGCCAACCTTCCTCAAGAAAAAAAAGGGCGGGGGCAAGGATTGGCAGCAGGTGTTAGCTCAGGGCTAGTCCTCCTCACAAAACAAAACAAAACAAAACAAAAAGATCTCTTGACTCTTCCTTCCCATCTAGTAACAGCCACTCCATGTCTCAGCTGTCCTTCACACTCAAATTTCTTTTTTTTATCATCTTCACCTATTCTGATCAAATATCAGTCCTTTCTACTCCACTGAAGCTGGTCTTGCCAAGATAACAGTGATCTCCAAGTTGTCAAATCACATTGTCACGTGTGTGTCCTCATCTTGCTCTACGTTTCAGCAGCATTCATCATGGTTGACCACTTCCTCCACCTTGGAACACTTTCCGCCCCAGCTTTCATGATACCTACTCTTCAGGAGTCCCCCCACCTCCCTGGTTTCACAGTCTCCTTTGCCAGATTCTCCTCTCTCTCAGTGTTAGCGTGTTCTAGAGTTCAGTCATGACACCTTTTTTCTTCTTCATGTCTAATCTCTCCATGAATGATCTCATTATTCTATGGATTTAAGGATTCTATGGATATGTCAGCAACTCCAAAATTCATATGTCCAGTCCTGACCTCTCCTCTAAACTCCTGTCTCTGACTGGTATATTTGATTGCCTTCTAAGAGGCATTTCAAACTTAAAACATGTGTAAAACAGAGCTCTCAATATCCCCCTTTAAACATTCTCCTCTCCAGTCTTCTCTACGTAGTTAAATGGCATCATTCATCCAGCTGCTCAAGCCAAAAACCCAGGAGTCATCCTCGGCTTCTTTTTCCCACCCCCTCGTCACTGCCCTACTGTCCAGTCCATCAGCAAATCACATTGATTCTACCTAAAAATACTTCCCCAATCCATCTACTTGTTTCTATCTCCATTGCTACTATTCTAGTCCAAGAAGCCATCATCCTTCACTTTACCACTGCAATAGCTTCCTAACTGGCCTCCTGGCTTCCACTTCTGCCTCCTGCTGACCATTCATTCTCCACCCAGCCACCAAAACAACCTTTTAAAAACACAAATCAGAGCATATCGCTCTCCTGGCTAACACCCTGTAGTGGTTCTGCATTGCACTTAGAATAAAACCCCACTCTTCACCAAGGCCTACAAAGCCTTCTGTGGTCTAGCCCTCACCCACCCCTCCAACCCTGCCATGTCCCTTCTCCCCCTTGCTTGCCGCTGGCCACATGGCATTCTTTCTGTTCCTCAAACCCTCGCTTTCTCCCACCTGAAGGCCTTTGTAGCAGCTGTTTCTTCTTCTCAGAGTGTTTCTCCCTCTCACCCCACCCTATTTTGCTTTAATCCTAGCACTAATCACAACTTGACATTTCCTTGTTTTTTGCGTGTTTTTTAAAATCTGTGTCTCTTACGTAGAATAAAAGCTTCCTGAAAGCATGGGTCACACCGTCCCATGCTCTGTTGGGTCCCTAGCATCTAGAAGAGTTTCTGACACATAGTAGGTATTCAGTAAGTGCTTGTCGAAGGAATGAATGAATCCTAGTATTCCTTGCAGTTGACACAGTTCCTAACAGAGAAGAAGCTCTTGTGCAGTTGCTGAATGAATGGCTAAGTCTGTCTGACTCCACCGTGAGCGTCCTGAGAACAGAAGCCCTGTTTCCGGTTTCCTTGTTTCCTCCAGAGCACCAAGCACGATGCTTGGGACTTCTGGGTGCTTAGTAAATAGGCTTGTTTGACTTCTTCTTCTTTATAAAGGGAAAGCCAAGCTATCGAGCTGACTACTTAATAGACTTCATTTCTCTGAGAATAAACGTGTGACACAAGAGGAATGTCATGAGAACCAGGGTGAATTGGGTAGGAAGCTATGGGGTTGGTCAGCCATTCTCAGCTGGAATTGAGGTGAAAGGAGAGTCTGCACTTTTTAGTTTTCCAGAATTCTAGATGCTACATTTCCTTTTGGTGAATGTGTTACAGGGCGCAACCTACATGCTGGTGATGGTGGATCCAGATGTCCCCAGCAGGTCTTCTCCCAAAGCCCAATTCTGGAGACATTGGCTGGTGACAGACATCAAGGTAAGCAGGCCAGGTGGCGCTTTCTGATTTATTTGGGATTATAGCTGGAAGATTATCATTCTGTGCGGTTCTCAGCTCTCCATAAGGAGGGTTGAGGACTCTGATGAGCGAGGACTTCTGTGTCAGATCACCTGCAGTACCCAGCTGTCACAGCCCCTCCCAAAATTTCTGACAATTTCAAAAAATGTCCCAGGACCAGTGGTACACAGGTAAATGAGCTCTCAGGATAAAGGGTGGGAGGGGGAAAGCCCCAATTTGTAGTGTTTGCTGATTTCTTTAGTGTAAATATTCCCACCATGGCCAATTTCAAGCTACTGAGGATTTAATGACTGACTCAAAAAATTTCTGAAAATTTAACAATTGGCTCCAGCACACCACTGCCAGGGGCCTGGATTTGGGGCACCGGGTGATTTTGTGCCAGGTGGCAGAACTGGCCAGGGGGAAGCCTGCAGAAGCTCCTCCTCCAGGTAGGCTGGGGGGCATGGAGGAGACATGGCAATTCCTTTTCTTTGTACAGAAACAAGTGGCCTCCCCTCATTTTTGCCCCTTTGTCCTCACCATAATTGTGAAGGAGCCTGGCTCACCCTATGCAAAGTAGGGTGAGGAACACAAATCTGGTGGATTGTTAATGGGCGTTATGTGAACAAAAAGAGAAAGGCTCTACTGTCAGACAAGATTTAGAGACTCTGGGTTAAACTGTGTTAATCCCATTCCTCACTGAAGGGCTTTTTAGAGCTTTTAATATCCTCACATGCACTATATAATAAGCATTTATTTTCCAATCTCATTTGACTATTGAGTCTTTTGTTCTCGAGTGCCTGGCAACACACTTCGGGAAAATCCACACTAGCTTCAGGCAGCTGTGCCTAGAAAGCCTGCGGATGGCCTTTGCATGGAGTGCGCAAAGGCATGCACCCCATAACATAGTGGGAACCCAAACTAGGAAGGCTAAGTTTGGATCAAGGCTTGGCTCGTTCCCAACTGAACAGTCTCCATCAAGTCTCTTGGAACCCTCTGGGCATTTCGTCTTTCTTTGTAAGATGGGAAGCGTGTTACCTTCTCTATGTGGTTGTTGTAATGATCCAATGAGAGAGCATACCAAGAGCACTTTGTGAAACATAGAGAATACCACAGACACAAGGAGTTTGTGTTTTTCCTTCTAAAGCAATGGGGCAGAGGAAGGGGTATCAGTCTGAACTAGCTACTGACTCTCCTGAGCAAGGCAGGGGCTCTCAGCCACCGGAGTGCACGTGTGGGGGAGTTAAGGGGGCAACCAACCCCCGCCCAGTGACCACAGGCCCTTCACAGGATGCTCAGGTGGACAGCCCATCCTTAGAGGCAGCCCCGGCTGTGGCCTTGGGAGGGGCTCCCTCCAGGGAGACCTCCAGCAGCAGCTTCTCTGACGGGAAGGTGTCTGAGCTGGGCTCCTGCGGGCAAGCAGAGGCATTGCTCCAACACTTGTCTCACCAAGCGCCCCTCGGCTGCTGAAGAGCCTTGGAAACACCATAAACATGCAGAGGGGCAGGGCCGGCCCCGTGGCTTAGCGGTTAAGTGCGCGCGCTCCGCTGCTGGTGGCCCGGGTTCGGATCCCGGGCGCGCACCGACGCGCCGCTTCTCCGGCCATGCTGAGGCCGCGTCCCACATACAGCAACTAGAAGGATGTGCAGCTGTGACACACAACTATCTACTGGGGCTTTAAGGGGAAAAAAATAAATAAAATCTTTAAAAAAAAAAAAAGAAAAGAAAGAAAAACATGCAGAGGGGCAGACCTGGGGGAGGTTCGTGCCACCAGGACAGGGAGGGGAAAGATTCTGGATCCTGCTCTAGAGCATTGTCGTTTCGTGTATTTGGGACACCCGGGAGGGGTGAAACTCTCGAGAGTAGTATTGCTCTGGATGTCACATCTACAGTCCACCCCACACGCACAGGGCTTTCCATAAGAGGGATCTGCTGGGCAATTCTGAGGCCAGATTTCAGAAGCTGTTGAGAGTGGGAAAATTTCGGGGTGGAAAGGGCTTTGGGACCATGAGGCTGCCTCTCTTCCACACCCAAAGTCCCCCCAGCCCTGCCTCCTCCCCTCACCTCAACGTGCACTCAAGACAGTTCTCCCACACAAGCCTTGCAGTGCAACCCTGGGTCCAGCCTCAGCATCCCAGCTTAGAAGCAGAGCAGGTGGCAGGTGGCAGTTGACAAGGCTGCTAAGCCACAGAGTTTACCAGGGCCACCTGCCTGTGTGCGCCCTCAGCCTGCCTGCTCCGGCTGGAGGAGGCTTGAGTTTCAGCCGCATTTTCACCCACTTTCCCTGATCTGCGGGTCCAGCAGGAAGCAGCAGCTCTCCTCAGCTATATCCACTTGGCCTGCCCACCAGCCCTCAAATTCTGCCAGCTGCAAAGCCAGTATACAAACCAGGCCCACTTAGGTCTCAGGCTGTGGCCCTTGGCCAGAGGAAGAGAGGGCTACAGTCAAACCCAGAAGCACTTCTTCCTCTGTGTTGGTGTCAGTGCTGCTGAGGGGGTCTCAAACATTAGAGTACGTCTGAATCAGCCAGCAAGCTTGTTAGGATGCAGGTCCCCGGGCACAACCTCAGTCAGTCGGAGAGAACACAGCACCCACGTTTGACAAGCATGCAGGAGGAGGTGAGCAGCTTGAAGGAGGACAGAAGAGTTCAGCGTCGGAATGCCTTGGTCGTTGTTAATATCACCCATTTGTGGAACAATTTTCAAGTGAAAATCACTTTTAAAACTTCCTTTTGATCCTCACCATCACTTTGTGAAATGGGCATTGTCCCCATTTTATAGACAGGGAAAGCAAGACCTGGAGACGTTGAACAATGGGTCTCTCAGCTAATGGGTTATAGGGGTGGGTCTTTAATCCAGGCCCCCCAACTCCAAACTGCACACCTTTCCTGCCATACTGTGTGGTCTGGGTTCACACTATCCCTGTCCCACCAGCTCCACTGTGGCAAGGGGCAGGCCCCACACCCTGTCTGTCAGATGGGAGACAGTCTCTGTGGTTCCCCTGCCACGCCAGGGCTCTCAGTCCCGTCACCTTTTATGGGTAGATGTTTCCAGGAACCTCCCCAGGGAATGCTATCATGGTAAATAAAATACACCTGGTAAGCAGTTCGAACCCCATAAAAGTAAACCCTGCATATTATCATCACCCTCAGCAGTAAGGCCTGCCATACCATAAAGTCACTGCAGACATGGACCGACAGTGGCCCTGAGACTCACTATGACCACAGAGGCAAACTTGGTGGAACCTAGGCTGACCTTGGTATTAGGGTCCCAGGCCTAGTCGGGTGGTGAGCTGGGCCATGGCTCTGGGAGCCCCTCAGTTGGGACAATTTTTGGACTGTCTGTCCAGGTTGAAACAGGACAGCAATCAGTTCTTAGAAATATAGGAACCACCCGCAGTCCCCCAAAGAGAGGATGGCAGGGTCTGGGAGAGAGTAGGATAAAACTCTGGTCCTTAAATAAACACTAGGACCTGGAGAGAAGTCCCTCAGTAGGGGCCAGCCATTCATGGTTCCCTTTGTTCGTTTAACTCAGCACATGTGGATTGACCATTATTTGCTATGGCATGGTGTTCACGGGCAAGGAGTCTGGAGCCAGACTGCTGTGGTTTGAATCTGAATCCACCAGTATTAGCTGTGTGATTTCTAGGGGAAAGTTGTTCAACCTGTGTCTCAATATGCTCACTGGTAAAGTGGTGACTCCAAGAGCCCCTTTCTCACAGGCTGGTACGAAGCTCAAGCAAGTTGTTTTACGGAAAGTGCTCAGAACAGTACTCAGAAGGCATAATAAGCTCCATATAACTGATAGCTGTGATGTTATCATTATTGCTCGAAGTCAGGCACCGCCAGCACTGGGGTCACAAACACAAACAAAGTAGGAGAAGTCTGCCCTCCAAGAGCTTCTACTCGGTGAGGCAGAGGAAGAGGCTGCAGCACGGGGTGGGATGACAAGGGCACCCGGGGCTCGCTCAGGGCGGGACTTCCTACAGCCGTGGGTTCCCATCAGCTCAGGGACACGACGAGACTTCAGTCCCCAAAACCTGGCCAGCCCAGGGCAGGCAGGGACTGATACATAAAGCACGCTGTCCTTCTCCGCCCCTCTATGAAAATCTCTCATTGAGCAAAAGAGATGCTAGCAGAGCGTTGACACATAACTTCTTTCCCCCCTCCCCGGTGCCACGTCCTCAGCTTTTCCTTTAAGATGTTTTTCAGTTCTGATTCAATCTAATAATCTTCATGCTAAAGCCTAATTAAGCTATCAATTAATTTGCATCATTCATTTCAGAAGAAACGCTTATTGGTTCATCTTCTATTTGTCTCTGAAATCAGTGCTCAGGGCTTTTCACACAGATATTTTCATTAGACTTTTTATTGTTAATGGGAATATTGAACACAAGAAGATGGTATATTAATACTTTCCACAAAGAATATCATGACTGGTGACAAAGAACACTAAGAACAATTAAGGAGAAAAGAGTACCTTTCTCCTTCCAAAAAAGAAAATCTTCCTAGAAACTGTCAATGATTCAAGCGTTTGCCCTGAATATCTTTTTTGTTTTAAGAGAGAAAAGGAAATGGCAAGTTCTTGCTTCCTCAGTGCCCTCAGCCCTTGGCAGCTATAGGTGCAACTGACTCTGGTTGAATTAAAAGGCCCTCTAAGGGTTCACTGTCCTGTCAACTTTCCTATAGGCCTCAATTTTTCTATAATGAGAGATGCTTTTTTTAAAGGACCTCTAAGTATGTTAGGGGAATAAAATAATTGGGACACCCAGTAAACAGGGCTAGGATCACAGCCCCTCGCGTCCCGTTATACGGTCAGCACGTGTCAGGACACTTCCGTTTGAATCATCAGTCCCACTACTGAGTGATCTCAGGCTGGTCACTTGACTTCTCTGATATTGCAGCTTCTTGTCTGTAAAACTGACACAAATCCTTACTCGTCAGGGTTGAGACAAGGAAAAAGAAAATTACATTTGCAAAGAGG